ATCTTACTGCTTCATTTTAGTTTTTAGCAAAGTCATCATTTCAGTGACTCATTGCATAAGGCATGAAAGCAGAAAATGAGAGACACAGAGAGAGTATAAGATAATATCTTGCAGCTACGAGACAATATTTTTCACCTTTCACTTAATTAACATAATGCCAGAATTGCCCAAAAAGTAATCGAGGGCCCCAAATTGTGTTGAGAACATTGATTTGTTAAACTTGTTGATTGATTTGCAGAAAAATTGCCTGTGCACTGTAACATAATTTCAGGTCACATTTTAAAAGTCATCTTCTGTTTAGTGATGTAAGGAGCTTCATATTTTAAAACTAGATCTAACTTTTATTTTCCTTCTAATTATACTTCTCCCTAGTAAGAAAAATCTCTTTTTAACCTTTTATCTCCCAGGTACTCGTCATCGTCATCCTGGACTGAAACCACCATGCTGCGTTGACATCACCAAAGGCAATAAGACTGCTGACGTGGTGGGGGAAACATATCGTGAGCAGGCTGCAAGCGGAAGCTGTGTGAAGGCTATAATGTAAGTCAGCACACGTTGTCCTACATACAAACATATACAATCTCTATAATTTTCTGTCTTTTATTTCCAGTTTTAACACAAAAGATAGGAAACAACTTTGTGCTGATCCAGATGCTCAGTGGGTCAAAGATCGTAAGTCGTGCTAAAAGAAACACACAGAAATAAATGCAAAGTATTTACAGAGAAAAACTGAAGCTGCTGCTTGTCTGTTTTTCCTCTCTAGTCACTGCCAAAATGAAGAAGGTGTGAAGTCTGTCTGCTGCATCAGTATTTCCAGTATTTCCATCACCTTTAAAGGATTATTCAAACCAGAGCGCTTTCTCAGCCTGACTGTCTTAAAACTTTCTTTTTTGCATTTGTCGATTAATTTTTACTCTAACCTGTGGCATAAACCTGTATTTTATTCATGCTGTTGACTTCATTGTTTTTTAATTGATCATTGGCGTTCAGGTTTTATTTGTCCTTTTTTTTTTTGTCTTATTTGTGAATCTCTTTCTGTGCATCATGTGTTTATGTGAAGTGCAATGTGGTAATACAAAAATAAACTTTGGTATTATTGAGCAATTTTTTTTCTTCTGTTGTTTCAGTGCCCACCAGACTCTCACAAATAGTCACACACTGTCATGGTCCTGGGCCATGTTGGCCCAGTGTTCTTAGTTTTCTTGTATGTTTGTATTTTGTTCCCTATTTAGGCCATGTTTCCTGAGTTGCCCTGTTGTGTTGTTCCCTAAGTGTTTTCCCTTC